CTGGTCCATACTTAGAAAGGAGTATGACTGTTCACCAAGGAATATAAATAATGTTCTCTCCATGTCATAAGTTTTACAATGAGAAGAAAGAGGCAAGCACTGCTCAAACCACTCTTAAGTTTTTTTAATTGTGGCAAAATATGTATAACATAAAATTTACCATTTTAACCATTTTTAAGTGTACAGTTGTGTCATTGAGTTTATTCACATTATTGTGCAACCATCACCACCATCCATCTCCAGAACTGTTTCATCATCCCAAACTGAAACTCTGTACTCACTAAGCAATAACTCCCCATGCCCTCCCCCTCCAGCCCCAGTTACCTCTATTCTACTTTCTGTCTCTCTGAATTTGACTATTCTAGGTACCTCGTATAAGTGGAATCATACAATATTTGTTCTTTTGTGTTTGGCTTATTTCGCTTAGCATAATGTCTTTCAGGTTCAGTCATGTTGTAGCATGTGTCAGAATTTCATTCCTTTTTAAGTCTGAATAATATTCCATTGTGTGTATACCATATTTTGCTTATCCCGTTTGGATTGTTTTCACCTTTTGGCTATTATGAATAGTGCTGCTATGAATACTGGTGTTCAGGTCTCTGCTTTTACTTCTTTCAGGTATATACCTAGAAGTGGAAGTGGAATTGTAGGATCATAGGATAATTCTGTGTTTAATTTTTTGAGGAACTGCCATACTGTCTACCAGTAGCTGTCTACCAGTGGCATAGTGGCTGTACCATTTTACATCTCACCAGCAATGCACAAGGGTTCCAATTTCTCCACATCCTTGACAGCACTTGTTATTTTCTGTTTTTTTATAATAGCCATCCTAATGGATTTAAAGTGGTATCTCATTGTGTTTTCATTTGCATTTCCGTAGTGATTAGTGATGTTGAGTATCTTTTCATGTACCTTTTGGCAATCTGTATATCTTCTTCTGAGAATTGTCCATTCAATTGATAAGTTTTCTACAAAGAAAGAAAACATTTTAATTCTCACTATACCTAATGTTTTAAATTACATTGTAGTAAATAAGTATTCATTTTACAAGTATTTTCGTTTTCCTATACATTTATAACCACAAATAGGAGAGTTTTTAATGTTTTGACAGAAAATTTTAATGGTCATTCATGGAGCAATTGTAATTTTCTTCACTTATTGTTACAAATGCTTTGTTCAGGCCAGCCCAGTGGCACAGCAGTTAAGTTTGTGCACTCCGCTTCGGCAGCCGGGGTTCGCTGGCTTGGATCCTGGGTGCAGACCTATGCACCACTTATCAAGCCATGCTGTGGCAGGTATCCCACATATAAAGTAGAGGAAGATAGGCATGGATGTTAGCTCAGGGCAAATCTTCCTCAGCAAAAATAGGAGGATTGGCAGTGGATATTAGCTCAGGGCTAATCCTCTTGAAAAAAAGAAAAGCTGTGTTCAGTTTCAGCTATCATGGCCATTTTTATGGTCCTCCACTACCATGCAAAGTGAAGATTTCCTTTAGAGTGTTAGATTAGTGATAAGGGATATGAAAATAAATCAAGATGAGTGGATAGAGAGTGATGGACTATGATGGGAGTATGGGCTATTTATGTGGGTTGTCAGAAAATGCCACTCTGGGAAAGTGAAATTTTAGTAGAGGTCTAAATGGAGTGAGGAAGCCAGCCGTATCCCTGCCTATGGGAAGAGCTTTCCTGGTTTGGGGAATAGCAAGAGCAAATGCCCTCCAATGGGAGCCTGCTTGGCCTGTTTGGGAAATAGCAAAAATCTCAGTGTGGCTAGAGCACAGTGATGGAGGGGGAGAGTGGTATCAGATAAAGATGGAAAGGTAGGCAAGGGTCAGATCATGTAAGGCCATGTTGGCCATAGTATGCACTTTGGATTTTATTCTAAAGTAATGGGAAACCACTGAAGGGCTGAGAGTGACGTTGTGTTAGGGCATCTGATTGGTTACGGGTGAGTTCCTCTAAGGAGAGAAAAGGTGGGAGTGAGGATACTTTAGTAGTACACTTCAGATTAACTTCACCTACTTCAAAATTTATCTAATGGCCAGTCATGGCTTGAAATTGAAGAGAGAATAAAAGACTTCTGGAGACTGGGACCTACTCATGGTTTTATTAAGCATTCCTTGTGTACCAAGGAGGCCTCTCAACTCCTTCAGTTTCACTAGGAGCCTCCTGGAATTTTCCCAAGAGATTTTCAAGACAAGACTCTTCTCACCTAGGGCGTGGAAGACTGAGGGTTCCTAGTCAGCAGAGCCATCAGTGGGCATGAGTGCTCCCGAATTTCCAAAGAAGCAGAGGCCAGATTACACCACATACCAAGCCAGGTTCATAAACCCGCAAGCCCACGGGTGGGTGGGGAGTACACATCAGTGAAGCTGGCCCAGGAAGACTGGTGAGTTGAGAGCTCATGCCCTGCCTAAAAAGGATAGCCGTTAACAGCTCCTGCTAGCTATTACTATGAGGAAATGTGGCCCCAGGGGAGCAGATCTTCAAGAGAAGCAGGAAATCCAGATTACAGTCCTTTTTTTCTTCTTCTTCTTCTCCCCAAAGCCCCCCCAGTATATAGTTGTATATTCTGGTTGTAGGTCTTTCTGGTTGTGCTGCAACCCTTTTTGAGTAGTGACAGTAACTTAAAATGTTTAACACATGATACAGGCAATATGTATATGTGTCTTTGGCCTTTATGTTATTTCTGATCTTAAAGGGCCTTGCCCATCCAACACCCCTCCACCATTCCCTAAGAATATTCATGCAGAGAATCAGAACTGTTATCTTTCTCCCATCCACATGTCTTCCAGAAGGGAATTATACTTAATTGAAAATCTCGGTGGCTTGGAACCTTTTAGCGACCTTTCAATTCCAGGTTTAATGTACCTTGACCACTTAGAATGCCTTTTAAAAAAGGCTTCTGGATTTGGCAGAAAATTCTGGATTGGGCAGACATTGTCATTTAGCACCTAAGTATCCATTGTTTTCTCAACATGCTACAAACCCTTAAAAGATATAGTATCTTCATTAAGCAACTTGATACAAAAAGTAAGAAACATCACCAATATCATTGATTTACAAAGCAAGAATTCACTAAAAATCTTATGCTTGCTGCATTTTAATTGTAGAGAACGAAGAAGAGCAAAGCAAATACAGAGAGCATTTTGATTAATGGTTAAGTAGATTTTCTTTACGTTGAACTTTCCAAAAAGATCTATTGAAATACCTATAATACTTAGAAATTATATACATGCAGATTTTTTTGCACTCCTAGAAAAGTTCCATATTTATACCAGTGTTTTAGTTTCACTTTCCTGCTTCTCATTTGTTTCAAAGAAAAGAGAAGTTTAAATGGGATTTTGTAATTTGAGGTTATGTTATGAGAGAAGGGAAAATTCTATCACTCTTTCAGGGTCAGCCTTTTAAAAGATTTTTCTTTGACTTATGAAGGCAATTTAGTCAATTATTTAACTTGAAAACAAAGTTTCATACCTTAAAAAAATCCCCATGATTGTTACTCTTCTAAACTCAAAAAAAGCTGAAGAAGAACTTTCTTACAGTACCTTAAACCACAGTGTCTGTTACTCGGTATTAGGTTAGAAAGAAATCTGCAGTGTGTATTTCTCCCAGAATCTTCATTTGATGTAGATAATTACTCTCAAATTATTTAATTATCTCTTCTAAGAATATCAACATTTCATCTGCTTAGTTGGCTTCAGTAGCAACAGTAGCTTCAGAGCTTCAATAAATGTTGGCATAGCTCAAGCTAAAGGGAAATGGACCACATGCCCAGCTTCAGAAGTTGGGCAGCCCGGCTCCTCTTACAGGGATAGACCAAGAGCCCTATTTCTCACTTCTCCAGAATAGCTCCAGGAAAGGACAAGCATTCTATGTTTATTTTAGGGACCTCTGAGAATTTACAGGGACCAGAGAGGATCCAGTTTAATTATCAAAGGACTTATCCCCACCGTATCTTGTTTCTGAGATGTTTGCTCTGATGACAGGTAGAATTACGTGATCTTTAAGATCCCCCCCAAAGCTAGAAGGCTACAATTCCACCTTTAAAATCCTCACATCTCCCATTGTGTTTAATCAATAAGTGAGTGTTGTGAGATAACGTTGGTATATATGGCATGTAGCTCTGGAATCCAAAGAATATTTTGTACCTTCACAGACTTTCATTCATGGGGTAAAGAGAAAAGTGGCCATCTTGTGTCATACCATACAGATATGGTACTGGTATATGGCACATTTCTCTAAAACAGAACTCCAATATCTTTGTGTACAGATGGATTTGGTTTTTGTTTTATTATTTTTTTTCTTTGCAGAACAGTGTCCTGTGAGATAGGAAGTGACAAATACCAACCTGATGGTGCAGAAGAAATCAAGATAAGAGGGATGCGTGTGTGAGGAGAAAGATTTTCTACAATGTCTGAATGAATTAATGCAGAACACTGCTCACAAATTTAAGGAACCAGGTCATGAGGCACAAACTGGAAATTCTCCTTAGAGTTTTTGTTATGAGACTTTATGGTGGAGAGTTAACACTAGCATGCATTGCCAAAGATTAGGCCAACTGTATGAGTTTCCTGTTGCTGCCGTAAGAAATTACCACAAATTTAGTGACCCAAAACAATACTAATTTATTATGTTACAGTTCTGGAGGTCAGAAGTCCAAAATCAGTCTAACTGGACTAAAGTCGAGGTGTCAGCAGGGATGGTTCCTTTTGGAGGCTCTGAGGACAGAATCCATTCCCTTCCCTTTTTGAGTGATTCTAGAGGCTGCCTGCATTCCTTGGCTCATGGCCTCTTCCTCCATCTTCAAAGCCAGCAATGACGGATTGAGTCCTTCTCACATCAAATTACGCTGACACTAACTCCCCTGCCTTTCTCTTATAAAGCCTGTTATGATTACATTGGACCCACCTGGATAATCCAGGATAATCTCCCCATCTTAAGATCTTTAATTGAATCACATCTGCAAAGCCTCTTTTGCCATGTAAGGTAACATATTCATTCATAGGTTCCTGGCATTGGGACATGGACATCTTTGGGAGCCATTATTCTGCCTACCACACCAGCCACACTGCGAGTTTCAATGGACTGTAGGGATGGCAGTTTAGCAGGTAAACGTTATGATTTCTTTTAAAGTATCAAGTTTATGGCACCTCCTGGGGGCTCCTGAGTTACTTTTGCCTACTGTTACTTTTCCCCACATAGGGCCAATCTTGTTTTACAGATGAGGAAACAGAAGCCCAAAGAGCTAAATGATCATCTCCAGCAACCCTCCAGTGTGATGAAGGCAGGTGTAAGTCTGGAACATGGACCCTTGATAGGCTGCCAGCATGTTTCTCACCTTTCTCCAGTGCCTCCTCTCCAGGAAGTGTGTTCTAAAGAGATGTCAGAGTGAGTACAGCACCATATTGGGTAGCGTTGGACAGGGTTTGGGTTGAGGGTAGATAAAGGAAAGGAAACAACATTCTACCCATAGGAAGTAGGCAAAGCAGCCACACAGTGGCTGTGCTCCCAGGCACTGCTCTTTTCTCTCACACAGACTTTTAAAGAGGGTTCCTTCCGTAGGGCCTTCTAGACTTTAAGTTGGATGATACTGGGCATGCTTCATTTTATGTGTGCACAACAAGGTATTTGAGGCCACCTATTTCCTTGGTATAGCAATAGAATAAAATATTGAGAACTAGATCAGTTTGGGGGTTAGATCCTGGGGAGCTCTTGCCCCAGCTCTAGCATGTACTGTTGGCTGGTGACCAGTGGAAATAGCACCCACCTTGTGGACTAGGTGTGGTAAGTAAAGAAGCTAATCCACAGAAAGTGGTTAGCATGGTGCAAGGGTACAATAAATGCTGACTGCTACTACTACTATTCTTGTTATTATTATTAGGACATCAGCTGGCCCGGCATGATCTGGCCCCTGCCCATCTCTCTGGCCTTATTGCCTACCATTCTCTCCCCTTGTCCACTGTGCTCCAATCACACCAGCCTTCTTTCTGACCCTCAAGTAGGCTGTGAGAGTCTTTGCGTTTGCTGTTCTTTTAACTTGGAATTCTTCCCCCAAATATTTATGAGGCTACCTGTATCTCATTACTTAGGTCTTAGCTCAAATATTATCCCCTAGAAAATTCTTCTCTGACCACCCCAACTAGAGTAGTCACTCCCACCCTCCCCTGTCACATCCTGTACTATCTTTTTCTTTTATTCCCTTAGTGGTTGGTCTCTATTAAGCTCTGAAATTACCTTCTTCCCTCTCTCCCTCTCTATCTTTCTCCTTTTCTATATAGACTTTAAGCTCCTTTCATTCAGCAGTATTATCATGTTCATTGATGTATCTCCAGCATCCAGAATAGTGCCTGGAACATGACAGGAGCTCAATGTTTGCCAGCCGGCTGACCAACCGATAATAGACTACCATCAGAACACAGATCTTAGTTTAATGTATTAATTTGAAATTTTTGTTTTCCATAAGCATTGGCCTCTTGGGACGCATTCCCCATACCCTCATTAATTATACCATTCTCTCTCTGAAGTCTCTTCACGCCCCCCTAGCTCTTCATCCCATTCCTTCAGGGCCATAAGGTGTACTCCTCCCACCTTCCAAGAAATTAAAAAAAAAATTATAATAGAGCACTCTCAAAGTCCAGGAAACTTACAAGACTCAAAGAATGAATCATTACTGGTGAAACTTCGTAGGCCATTGTTGGTTGATAGGGAACTATATTTGGTCCCTTTGCCTCCCTGATCTAAAGCACAGTTGCACAATTGCTCATAGGCTCATGAAGGTCAAGGACTTGCTCAACTCTGTCTAATTCCCAGCACTTGGCACGGCGATTTAAGCATACAACAAGCACTCATAAATGTGTGTGACATGAGTGGGGGCTTCTCCTACCTACTCATAAAATCATTTACAAGAAATGCAAATCAGTAGTGATCATGGAAGAACATAAGAATCCTGCCTTAGGTCCTGGCAGACCTCCTCACCTCTCTCAGAATTAGACCAGGGGCCAGTTGACCTGCCAGTGGAGAAGGGGTCCAGAAGGGATGGGGTGGAAGAGTGCCCTGTTCCTAGGCCCTATCTCCTAGGACTTGGGGCTTGACAGAGCCATTGGAATCCCCAGGTCACAGTCAAGAGCTGTCATCAAGAAGAGGCAATACATCTTAGTGTCTACTTTGAAAAGAGGAAGACAAATCCCATGGCTATAGACAAAAATCTCAGGACCATAGAATTTCAAAATTGGAATGGTTTTTGGGAGTCATCTGATTCATCCTCCCATTTTGATTAAATTGCCAGCCCGCAACAACCCAGTGGTGAGCTGAGAACAGAACTCAGGACTGACACCCATTGCCTTGTTGTGAAGAAAGAGAGTATGTAAGGCAATTTTTTCCTTGTATGAAGACTCTCAGAGAACAAATGTAAGGCTATGTAAATAGAAATGCATGCTTTTCTTTATTTCATATACATTACACATATATATATCTGTCTCTAAATTATTCTTCAAAATTTCAACTTAATATAAAGTTGTATAAATAATGCAGTTTTATAAAGTTGTAAATAATATAAAGTTTCTGGTCTGAAAATTCTTACCCTCAAAATAAATCCTTATTCACCATATGGCAAATGTTTGTGCTGATTTAATCTTCTAGATGCTTTTTCACTCCAATAAACAGTATTTTTTAATGAGTCCTGGGTTATACATTATAATATACAGATTGGCACACATTTATACTTGGGGCTGCTATGGGACAGTCTAGAGCAGACTTCAGAAGGGTAAAATATTGTTGGCAATTGTACCCCTTACTCTCCTCTTTCCTCCTTCTCCTGTTCTCTCTTCTATGCCCCAAATTTGCTCTTCCCCAAAACATCTCTTCAGAGACACAGGGAACACAGTCTCCCTGGAAAATATATCAGCACTGCTCAGCTCTGATTTTCAGCACCTACAAAATCCAAACTCTTTAATACCACTTTGAATAATAAAAACATTAGCTTTGCAAAGTTACTATACATTTCTTTCCGTAGAAAAAAGCTTTGGGACATAAATGGTTAAAAAGTCAGCTCCCTCTTGTTTTTACAATTCTTAAATCATTTATTTATCTTTCAGGGTTGCAGAGTGTGAGGATGATGGTGTTGATTCTCTGCCTGGTATTAATTTTCAGAATTTTTAGTGTGTCATTCCTTGTGTGTGTATGTGTGTGTGCGCGTGTGTGTATGTGTGTGTTTCTCCCTTTGGAAAAACAAAAGATGGGTTTCCTTGCCCACCATGGAAAAAATGTAACATACGACTCAATCCCTTCCTGAGAGCACGGGGGACTCAAAGCAGGCGGCTCAGATCAGGGTGGTGAGGAAGTTTTGTCATTTCCAGAAGGAAGCATGAGTCATAGTGTGTGACATTTTGGGAGGCCTGAATCAGAGCTGTCGAGGAAGTCAGTTCTCAGACAGTTTAACTTAGAACCACAATGTAATTTAATTTAACGCCTTCAATACCTTATCTTTCTCCAAGATGGCTGCAGACATAGATGTTCCAATTATTTCCCTTCAGGAACAGAGAGTAATTTAACAGTTGAAGAAGTCCCCTCATCCACTTCTGAGGCAACCAGGCCCGGAGATTATAATTAATATATATCTTTTAGAAAGGCAAAGAGAGAGTGGGCAAGAAAGGGAGGGAGGACACTGCTCTAAAATCTATTAATAAATGAAGAATGGTCAAGTTAAATTATATTGTTAGAAAATTAATTTATTATGGACAGCTAAACATTTCAACAAACATCCTTTTCCTCTGGAAGGCCAAAATGCACTTGAGAAAAATATCTTTCCACGCACTCAAATTTCTTCTTGGTACAAGATTCTGTCCTCTTTTTTAAAGGCTCAATACCCAGAAAAGTTCCAGAATTCTAAGGAACACTCCATATAACCATTCAGGGGAAGATGATCATGATTGGGGTTCAGGGGATGAGAAGGAATGCTGCTCTTTGGGACTGGGAGCGGGGTGGCACTGGGTTGGGGTGGCAGCAAGCAGGGGAAGAAGTGCAGGGATAGTAAGATAGAATGCCTTTCCAAGATTGGTTTGGTGCCATTACTAAGAGGTTTGGAGTAAAAAAGGTTGAGGATGTTTTTAAATTAGAGGCAAAGAGCACAGAAAAATCTTGATATGTTACAGTTTCGGGGGCCTGATGATTCAGAGGCTGAATAATATGAATTATAACACAGTGTGATAATCAAATAGATTGGGAGTGAATTCTGATAGATGACTTCGGATTCTGCCCTGCTCCTAATCTCCACCATTATCTCCTCAAGGCCTGAGAGCTGTGAAGGGCATTACTTTAGCATGATAGTTTCCTGTGGCTAGTTTCACTCTCAGCTAACCACTTAGGGGGAGCCAGCTGCTGGAAGGCCTGGGAAAATTTGCTTGAGGGACATATGCTGTGCAATCTAGAAATTTAGGATACGCACACATAGACAATATGAGGAATGAGGCCCCGAGATCCATTTGGGATATCAAAGGATGGCAAGAACTCTAGACTTGATAGTAGCAAAAAACCTGTCCTCCTGATGTTCAACTTTTTATATATAGGTTGTAAAGAGATGTTATTAATATCGTGACTTATAAGACCTTTATACCATTTCTCTCTGAGTCAGGCTTAAACTGAGCCAGGACCTGCCCCTGGGGTTTTGGAGGTGGCTTTTTGTTCCATCAAACTTCCTAGAATTCAGCACATTACATGATCGTTGCCTCCGTCAAGATGCCTTGGTACTGTCACAGGAAGTATGGTGGACAGAGGCAAAATGGAAAATTGTAGGATGTATGGTCAGAAGGCCTATTTCCAATTTTCCAGTTTGTCCTTGCAAGTCTGTGAGCTGGGAAACTCTCAGTCCGGACTTCAGTGTCCTGATTTTCGGAAGTGGTAATTGGCACACCAGGGTTGCAGTGAGGACTCAATGCTGTAAGTACTGGTAGTGGTAGTGGTAAAGCCGTAGCACCTTGAGCATTGCCATACAATGGTGTGGTAACTGTACACGGTGAGGGGGCCCTTCTCCTTCTAGACCATTCTTCTTTTCTTCTTCCTGGCCCATAAAATAAGTATTTCTTAAGTCTGTCCCCTGCCCTCCTTCCTTTCCACCACTGCTGTGGTTCAGACCTTCCTCTTGTTGCACTTGAACTGTTTTCAGTAGGCTCCTCCCTGACAGCTCCCACCTCAATCCTTTGCTCTTGCTGTTTCCACTTCCTGGCATGCTCTTCCCCTGGATGCCCACATGGCTTGCTGCTCCTCTATGGCTGTTCAAATGTCAGCTCCTCAGAAAGGCCTACCTCTACCACCCTGTGTAAAATAGCACCCAGCCCCGCCTCATACCTCATCTCCCTTACCCTGTTTTATTTTTTCCACAGGACTTATAATAAACTTCTATAATTATTTGGTTATTTTTATGTAAATAAACTTTTTATTTTAGAATACTCTTAGATTTACAGAAAAGTTGCAAAAATAGTACAGAGAATTTCTATACTTCCCTTACCCAGTTTCCCTTGCTTTTAGATCTTACGTTGCTTTGGTAGATTTGTCACAACTGAGGACCACATTGATATACTACTGTTAACTAAATGCCATACTTTATGCACATTTCCTTAACTTTTGCCTAATGTCCCTTTTCTGTTCCAGGATCTCATCCAGGGTACCACATGGCATTCGGTCATGTCTCCTTAGCTTCTTCTAATCTGTAGAGTTTCTCAGACTTTCTTTGTTTTTGACGACCTTGACAGTTTTGAGGAGTGCTGGTTAGGTGTTTTGTAGAATGCCCCTCAATTTCAGTTTGCCTGAAATTTTTCTCATGATTCAATTGGGATTATGGGTTTGGGGGAGGAAGGACATAGAAGTGAAGTGCCCTTCTCATCACATCATATCAAGGGTACATACTAACAAGATTTATCACTGTTGATGTTGACTTTAATCATCTGAGATAGTGTCTGTCAAGGTTTGGAAATGTCACTAGGCACAGCCCGTATTCAAGAGATGGAGAGTTAAATTCTACCTCCTTGACAAGGGTATATCTACCTAAATTACTGGGAGTTCTTCTGTGCAGGAGATTTGTATCTTCTCCATTGATTTATTCAGTCATTTACTTATATCAGTATGGACTAATGTATATTTGTTTCATAATCTGGTTTATATTCCAATACTATATTATATATTGCTCAAATTGTTCCGGCTTTGGCCATAGGGAACTCTTTCAGTTGTCTTCTATGTCCCTTTGATATGCTACCATTATTTTGTTATTTGAACACTTTCTTACTTTCTGGTACTATAAGATCCTCCAGGCTCATCTTGTATATTTCCTGCCCCAGCCCTAGAATCAGCATTTCTCCAAGAAGTCCTAGTTCCTTTTATTAGAGAATGTCATTAGAAAACAAGATCTGCGTGCTGGGTGTGCTTGTTGTCACTGGGGTGTCTTTGCATCTAGGCTCGCTCAGAGGACAGACCTAGGAAATGTGTATACAAACCCATGTATGCACTCATATCTATAATTATTTCTGTGTGAATCCATCTGTATCTATATTAAGCTGAGTGTGAGTTTATACTGATATCTCTGACTCGAATCCACTACCACATGCATCATTTTAGTCTTCTCTCCTTGCTTATCTGCAGCCTCCTTCACCAATAGTGAGAAGCCTGGCTCCCACCATCCATTTATTTATTTGCTCATCCCAGTATAAACTGTCAGAATTCTTAACCCGTACTCCCATGAGAAACAACTTTACCAACTAGAGTACAGTGTTTGCATACAGGCCTTTTGTCTTTAGTCTTACAGTGTATAGTGAAAACACCATCTTTCAAAGTTACTTAGGTTGGCTGCACCTTTTGTCTCAATGTCTTCAGTGGGGTTATGTCTTATATTTGCAATACAGTTAGATTCTTTTGTCATAGTCTGTATTCCATCCTGGGATCCCCCAGCCTCCTGGTTGATTTTTTAAATTTGCATACATTAAGGTTCATTCCTTATATTTTAAAGTTCTGTGGATTTTGACAACTGTATAGCATCATGCATCTGCAACTACAATACAGATTAGTCCCATAGCCTTAAAACCCCCCTATGCTTCCTCTAGTTAAACACTATTACCGGCTCCCCTCCCCGTAAAATATAAGCTTCATGAGGACAGGGATTGTTGTCCGTTTGGTTTAGTGTTATATTCCCAGTCCCTAGAAAAGTGCCTGGTACATAGTAAGTGCTCAATAAGTTTTTTTTTTGAATGAGAGAAGGTCTCTTCTCTTGCCCTGTGAAATCCAACTTTCCTCTCCTTTCTTATCTGTCCCTAGTCCAGAAACATATCATGGCATAGAGACATTTGTGCATATAGGCCCTAGCTAACTTCTCTCCCCCAGGATGGGTTAATGTCCCACCCCTGTAAGGAAGCATATCATATGTATCACTCTACTATATTATTTTCTACCATATACTACAATTATTCTTTTCCCCCTTCAGCTTTATTGAGGTATAATTGACAAATCTGTGTATATTTAAAGAGTACAATGTGATAATTTGGTATACATAAATATTGTGAAATGATTACCACAGTCAGAATTAATGCACTGATCGCCTCACATAGTTACTTTCTGTGGGTTTTTTTTGGTGAGAATGCTTAAGATATACCTCTTAGCAACTTTCAAATATACAATACAATATTAGTAACTATAGTTACCATGCTGTACATTAGATCCCAAGAACTTATTCGTCTTCTAACTGAAGATTTGTACCCTTTTACTAGCATCTCCCAATTTCCCTCACACCCCAACACCTGGTAACCACAATTCTACTCTCTGTTCCTATGCGTTTGACTTTTTTTTTTAGATTCCACATATAAATGAGATACAGTATTTGTCTATCTCCATCTGGCTGATTTCACTTAGTATAATGTCCTCTAAGTTTATCTATGTTGTTGCAAATGGCAGAATTTCCTTCTTTCTCATGGCTGAATAATATTCCATTGTATCACATTTTCTTTATCCATTCATCCGTCAATGGACTCTTAGGATGTTTCCGTATCTTGGCTATTGTGAATAAAGCTGCAATACACATAGGACAGCAGGTGTTGCTTTAAGATCCTGTTTTCATTTACTCAGGATATATACCCAGAAGTGGGATTGCTGGATCATATGGTGGTTCTATTTTTAATTTTTGAGGAACCTCCATACTCTTTGTTGTAGTGGCTATACCAATATACATTCCCACCAACAGTGTACAAGGGTTCCCTTTTCTCCACATCCTCACCAACACTTATTATCTCTTGTCCTTTTGATAAGAGCCATCCCAACAGGTGTGAGGTGATATCTGACTGTAGTTTTGATTTGCATTTCCCTGATGTTGAACATCTTTTCATGTACCTGTTGACCGTTTGTATGTTTTCTTTGGAAAAATGTCTATTCAAGTCCTCTGCCCATTTTTAAATCAGATTATTTAAGTTTTGTTTTGTTTTGCTATTGAGTTGTATGAGACCCTTATGTATTTTGGATATCTAGCCCTTATTAGATACATCGTTTGTTAATATTGTCTCCCATTCCATTGGATGCCTTTTCATGGTGTTGATTGTTTCCTTTGCTGTGCAGAT